AGTGACAATCTGCTCTGTGCTTCCAAAGTAGGAGGAGACAGGATTTGCAGGCAATGATCAACAATGGGAAATAACCATCAATGACGAAGAAAAGACCAATATGTTTTTTGTTTGGAAGCAAACTTGTCTGAAATTCTGAAAATACTACAAAGAGGAATGTGACACAATTCAGCATATTTGCCATCAACCAAAGAACAATCATGAAGATCACTGTCAAAGATTATTAAACTTTTTGTTTAATGTTTAATTTACATTCTTATTCATCACGTTACCAGGAGGAACAAAGAATGCAAAGACTTCTGTTTTGTAAGGGGCCTTGGATTCATTATTTAAGCTACATGTTAGACGCCCATTTTGATGAAGAAAAAATATTGTTAGATTTCGTTTTTACAGGTTTCAATTATCCTGTAGCAAAATACCTTTTATGTGCATGAGTCCTCTTATGTGTCTGCCAGTTTGATTCAAGACATGAAATAACTGCAACACAGATGCAATTTCTAGCAGAAATCTCCAGATAGCATCACCTTCATCCATCACAAGCATCTGCTTCTTATACATAGAGGTTTCTGATGTGATGTAACTGGATCTTTCAAGATGCCTCAAGTTACTGTCTTTAAATGGTTGCCATTAAGAGTCGGTGTCCTGTTGCAACTCCTTAACCAATTAGTCAGTATGTATTGGTGGCTTGGTAGCTAGAAATTGCTAATTATGTAAGAAAAAAACAAAAGGACAGTAAAGAAATGCTTTCTAACATTTCAGTTAGTACAGCGCAAAGGTCTTGAGCCACCTATTATTTCTTCATATTTTGTTTCCAAGCCAGACTTTTAAAGTAATTCAACAATAGTTCTTTCTGAAAAGCTTTCTGAAGGTCTTTTAATTTTTTTTATTTGGCTGCTTGTTCACTCATCAAAAATCATGTTCACATAAATGATTTTTGTTTGTTTGCTTTTTGTTAAGCTCTTTAACTCCGACTTACTCCTGAAAGCTCCTGTTTGAATAATGTTTAATGAACCCTACACTGGAGCTGTTCGCCAAAATTACTAGTGAATTTTAAAGTTGAAATTATTTCTGAGCACTTGTGAGCCCATATGGGTATCAACAGAGAGGTACAAGCTCTACCAACACATAACTGATTCCAATATCTTTGCTGTATAACCCTAATTTCTTGGGTGACTTTGGTCCTGAAGAAGCAGTGCATATCTGACAAGCACAAGCAGAATAACTGCTGAGAAGCACAAAAACACAACAAGACCCAAGAACAAAAGGAAAAGATAAACAACCTCATGCTCCCATTATTTGTGGAGCTCATACTTCATACATCACTCAGACTACAGTATGTGCTGTCCACAAAATCAATCTTTTAGGTCACTGAGCAGGACAAGTTACACACTGAGCACTGCGCTTCCACTCCAAGGCTTTGCAGCAAACATAAGATTAACCAATGAGCCCTCATATTTGCTCCACAACACCCAAAACATTCCCTTACCATATATATATATATATATGGGAAATAATAATATGGGAAATAAGGGAATATACTCAGGTGTGTTCTTCATTTTCTAATTTCCTAGCAGTCATAACCGACTGCCATTGTGTATGAATCTGAGCACTCTTCTGATAGTGAACAAAAAAGCTGATGTAAGTGGTCACACACTGCAGCAAAAATAATAAAGTGCAGCTGAAACACATTGTCAGCGCAACATTTATGTATTACCTTTTCGGTCAGTTTCAGTTTTGAAGCTGTCAGTTATGGGAGAAATCAAAGTGAACCAAACTACTATATTTACAGGCAATTAAACCACCAAATGTTCAACAGAAGTGCGGGAAGAGCAGAGTTGGTGATAATTCTCTGTAAATCTTTTTTTGGGTTTTTTGCCTGTCCCTTTTGACACTGTAGCAATCAGAATTATTGTCTGAAGGCCAAGGAAAATGCCAAACAGATTTATTATCCCAAGTGGATCATTACGGATGCCAGGAAATGATTTTCCAGGCGACTCAATAATAATAATAATAATAATAATAATAATAATAATAATAAT